CCTTTATCTGTATAAAGTCAATAAATCACTCTTTGACTTCTCCTTTTCTTGTCTTAAAGTCAATGTCAACAAACCGAATCACTTGGGCCATTTGCTTACGATGGGCTAAATCAGGAGTGGAATCTAACAGAATATCATAGTATTTGTTTCTACGAATTGCTGACAAACAATAATTTCGCACATGTGAAGCCATGAGATTTATAAACTCATTTTGGATTTCAGGAGAAAGATAAGATGTAGACGTTTGCTTGTTTTTAACATGCTCTAAATGCTCTCTCATTACTGGATCATACTTTGGTAATAACTGCAAAAGTGACATGAAATTTCCAGGGTTTTCGTTTGAGGTTATGTCCTCAGTATGACCACGAAATGCAAGATTTTGAGAAGCTAAATATTGTGTACAATCCAGCAACTGTCGCAGTACATCTCTCCATTTATTACTTGCTTGCTGAATTTGCCTTTGGAGCTCTTCATCAATGCCACTTTGAAGACGAATTCGGCGCTCAGTTTCTTTCCAAGCAGCAAATGACTCACGATGACTGTCACTATTTTCATGGGCATTTAACTTTTCAATTTTTTCACTTAGAGAATCCACCCTGTGTTTTGAAAGCAGACCGACTATCGGATGTCATACATGTAGATGAAAAAAGAAGACAACAAAGGCAGTATGCTGCTTTATGTAGAGGTGAATACACCAACCAGGAACGATTGACCTCTTGTCCATTCAGAAGGCGTCGTTTGAACCAAAATGCAGTCATAGAACACCCATCTTTGGCATCAAATGGACCTTCTTTATGTTGAAATTCATGTGCTCCAACTTTAACAATCTCTGTGTGATGTGCATGTGTTACAACTGCTGCGCCTGTTGTATCAAACTTCATAAATCCAATATCCCTGTGTGTTAAAATATTTATTAGGTATCCTCTTTTAGCTTAGCAACACTATTCTGTGGATTTGTTTCTGACAAAGTGGAATCCTCTTGTTTATTATTATTGTAGCTTTCAACAGGACAGAGAATAGTTTCTTTATTGTTTTCTTTTTCAAATGAAATAGCATGTTCATATTCTTGCACTTTGACCTCTTTGCTGCCATCAAAAGAACCAGATGCTGGCTTACTGGTGTCATCACTTCCAGCAAAGAAAGCTCTCATCAATTTGCTTGACTCCACCATCGAAGCTGCAAATTGTGCACGTCTTTTCCATCCCTGTGCCCCACTTTCTTTTTTCAACATAATAGGCTAAAAGAATAAATTAATAACTACTGACTACACTATTTAGTTGCAACATGCAAATTGTCAGATGAAAGGAAGTATTCTACTTTCCTAAGTTCCTAACCACAAATTATATATAAATTATACAATTATAGTTGCAACTCAGGACTAGTTAGGCACATCTGGACCTGGCTTCACTTTAACTGCCATTATTTAAACCACCCATACTCATGTTAATTAATGTGACACAACAGTAAGAAAATCAATGCAGATAAGTGTATATGCTGATAAATCATGCTTATGAGCACCATATAAATTACTGGCAGTTGCTAAATCCCATTTAAAAATTCGATAGGTTTAACTACACG